ATACCATCTCTTATAAATATGTTAAGAGCTAACCAGTTAAAGTAGGGATATTGAGTAGAGAGAGATTAGAAACATTACACTTAAGTTAGTGTGAAGAAAATCGGACTGACGTTCAAGATAATAATAATCTTTGCTTCAAAAGAATGGATCTTGCTCATTGAAATGAATGCATTATGGAAGTATTAACACCAATTCCTAACAATTGCAGTACATGAATAGATGAATTGTGTATATTTTATTCTATATTTTAAAGAATCTCCAATAACACATTCCAGACCCAGAGCAGTGCTTAGTTAAAAAACCAGTGACCAATCTGAGTTCCGTTCTATTCAAAGTAATATGCCTGTTAGCATAAGTACCCATATAGGATTGACCCCAATAATTTGTTTACATTGCGTTAAAAAGTTAAGATAGGGAGTGAATTGTGCCAGTATGACTTTAGCTCTTTAGCTCTCATAGACTTATAAATTAATTGTTATATTATATTATTAAAAGTAATGGATATATTATGTGTAATAAAATTTATTAAGCAACATATGCATTGCAAACATCGAAATTAGTGTGCAGTGAATTAAGCAATTTTGTTTTACAGAGTCGTGATTTATAACAAATGTCATTTTAATTGCATCTTAAAGACTCGTAAATAAAAAAATAACTTCATAGTTAAATTAATTTTTTATGATTAACTTTAATAAAAAAAAGACCAAACTAAGATTATACATAACAATGTTAGTAAAATTAATTATTTTACTTTTCAGCTGATAATTATTTTACTCGTCTGCTTCTCTTTGAATTTTTAGTAAGATTAATCGTACTTAAAACTTTCGTTAGGTATATGATTACGAGTCTCTCTGAAGTTGAAATTTACATTAATTTCAAGCTTTTATTTTCTTCACTACTTAGAGTATCTGAAAGATACTTTTGCAGATGTAAAAAGAAAACTTAATAATCTTTTGCATATACCTTTAAAATAACACAAATAAGCACAAAACACAAAATTCAAGCACAAATGCCGAAACGCCCATTTTTCAAGCCCACACGACAAACAGACAGACAAACAGACAGACATACAGACAGAAACTATGCGCTTCATTGTATATTTAAATTATAATTTTATGACAAAACAAAAAGATTTTAATGTTGAAAAGTGTCGCTCTTATGCTATAATTAAAATATATGTGCAGATATAAAAATATCTTCGCAATTACCGCAAAGGTACGAGTATCTATGTTGCGGTATGTGTGGGTTTGTGGGCTTGTGCACGCCTGATATAAGGCCAGCCTGCGTACTGCATCTGAATTTGTTTTATTGTATTTTATTTGCGAAAAGTAATAAAGTAATTATTTATGAGTAGTTGCGCTATAAATACAGGGTCATTATGCCAAAAGTGTGCTGCGCTGCAAACTCACTGTTTTTCATTTCATTGTTGGTACTTCATTCAGTTCGGTTCGGTCCGCTTCGGTTCGGTTAGTTATATTATCTATCAAATTGTGTTGTTCAGCTCAACACTTTTATTATCTTGTTTTTGTTTTTCTGCGTATCTAACAAAAGACTTGTTAACTTGGCCTACTGGAATTGTTCGAAAGCCTTTAGATATATTTTTATTATGATATGGTTTTTGTTTTTTCGTTTTTGTTATGAAATATTCAAACACTCATCATTTTTAATATTTTTACTACAATTTTTTTCAATTTTTTTTTGGTAATTTAACGTTAACGAGTTGATTGCCATGTTAATTCACATGTGTTTAAGATAAGTGACTGATGGCTTGCTGCTCTATGATTCTTTTTTCCTCGGAAGCTACTAGATATTGTAAAATGATAATTATAGTTTCACACTTAAGTGACGAGATTTTGGGTATTATTGTTAATTTTTTCTCACTTTAATTATAATTACTTGATTATGTTAAAGTTTTTTGTTAATGAGATAATAAAAATTTGAAAATATTCTCCTCCTCTTGGGTTATTACTTTCGGATCCATAAGAATTTTTCATAGGTAAGCAATTACTTCCAAACAAAAAATTGTCTTAAGAAACTAAAAACACATTACATTAATATTATTATGTTTATTATATTCATTAATTTATCTTGTTTATACATTATCGTTTATCTTTACATCAGACTAAGCAATCATTGACCACAGATTTGCATACCTCACCGAGGAGTCTGTAACCATTCTGAGATTCAATAACATGGTGTTGGTTAGCCTATCAGTTCTCGTATATAAACATAAATATAGTATGGAATTGACATAAATCAAATACGACTTTGGGCCAGTTGGCTAATGAACGCTGCCTCTGAGCTTCAAATTTGACAGGGCACAAATTCCAACGCTGGTACTTGCAGTTTCGAAAAATTATTTACGACTAATTAAATATAAGAAACAATTTCAAAACAGACAACTTAATAGTTATTGTCTTAAATAAACTTAAGTTCTTATGTTACACATAATTAAAATGTAAAATAAGTTATGTTATATGTTAAAATAGTTGTCAATATGTAATAATTTAATAATCGTTAATAAAACAACTTACTACTACTACTACTAATGATGGGTATTTGGCAATATTCGAAACAGCTGTATGGTTAGCCAAAAATTCAATTAATTAAAATAATATAAAAAGAATTTTTGTTGTTGTAATTCACTACTGTTTGAAACCTCTACATACATTATATGCAATAATAAGCAATAAATGATATTTACTAGGTATTAGTTCAGATGTTTCCTTGTAAAAATTGAAATCAGTATAAAATATATTAAACTATGAGTTTAAACTACCTATTTTAGGGTTGGGTTTGCTTTTGCAGATTCTCTGATTTACACGGTACTATACAACATATCATATCTATTAACATTTTTCCCTGGTCTAGGTCTAAAAACCAAAACTCACAACATGGTCTTCAAGTGTTTTCATTATGTAATTGTGCCACCGTGGATAGGATTATTTCAGCTTTAGTCCAATCCGAGCGAATTCGCCACAACATTTTGTAAAAAAGGTTATCTTCGGTTCAACATCTTCCCTCCACTAAGCCGCAACGCCGGCTATGGTTGTGCCATTATCTGTCAATATTGTCAGCTATGTTCTACTGAGAAGCGAGACTTTAGCTAGCTAGTTTTCTAGTCTTAAAGACATACATACATTATCATTCCGGCCCACATACCTCACTGAACGAGAAAGTCATTGCGAGATTGTTCGCAGATTTATTGCTATTGATTCCAGTGCGACCAGCAAAGCACTATTCTGTTTTGCTTGCCTGTTACTGCAGTATATCACTTCAAAAAAAAAAAAAACATTTAAGAGAGCAGTGCCTTGATTGCTGCTAGACTGTCTTTGTAAATACAAATGTATTAAGGTTGACTTAAGCGCGAACCATAATGGTGTGCATCTCAGAATAAGCACCCTAGTCATGCATTTATCAAGAACGATACCATTACTTTTCATTACTTATATATATTAGACAATTCTAATTAGTTAAATCATAAATGAATTTATTTTTTATTGGCTTATTTATATGACGGTTAATGGATGTAATTAACTTATACAATGGCTATGCTGAGTGCTTTAAATCCATTTCTAATAACATGTCACACAATATCCGTAATAATATATAACATATAATATATATATAAATAATATTAATATTATATATATATAGCGAAATAATTGTAGATGAAAATGACTGAGTAGCAAAAGTGAACATGAACAATCTAAACATTTGATACTCTGAACTTCATTTATACCGGCTAAGGTGAGTACAAGCATGTGGTATATTTTAAATAAGTACTTTAATATTAACATATTTATATAATAGTGTTATTTTAAGTTAAAAAATAATATAGTATATATATTTATATATCAAATAAGTATGTTAAGTACAAAGTAATTATACATACATAATTATTGAAAACAAACAGCAACTACATTTTACACTGGAAATTTAACTCAGGTACTACAGATAACCATTATTTACACATTAATGTGCAACTGTGATAATATTTAGCTTATATAAAAAAAAAAAGTTGTTTCGGTTAACATCTCTTGATTGCATCACAAATTGTAGGTTAAGGTGCACTTGCAGCCAAAAATTGCACTTTCTTCTGAACAGGCTGCAGGCAAGCCTTGAGACTATTCAAAAACATCACCAATATTGTGCACTGAAGTAGCTCTTTTTATTTAATAAAATATTATGTATCAAAAGAAATCATTGATTTAGTTTGGTTGTGTTAACTTGTTTGCTAAAAACTTATTTTTACCTCATCTTCGAAATCACTTTTAGCCAACAGCAACGAACACAATCGTTTCCAGTGAAAGTTTATATTGAACGCTTCTTCAACACATTTTTCCGGATCTGTTTGAACGTTCGTGCATTTTTATTTTCCTTTTGGCCGTACAACTTATTGAACCAAACTTGAATAAGTGGCAACACACTTGAAGTTCATGTACGATATTTATAATAATTTGTAAATTCATTTCAGTTCGCGACTTAAGTTACCTCCTGTGGTATACACGTATCGGCGCAACATACGGGTAACGTATCTGTAGAAACAACTTCATACCAATGAAACATTAAATAAACTTGAAAATAGTTTGCGGAAATCTACAGATACAAATTTTACAACTTGAGAAGTTCGTGCACTTTAAGTTTAGAGCATTTCATGCCTTTTTATTTGCTTACTCGTTTTAATAACTTTGGATTTATCGTTTCATTAGTTTTTATGTTGAGCATTAAATACACAACAACTACAGTTTTAAAGTCCGCAATTATGACTTGCAAAAAACGTGTAAATTTTTCCTTTTAAATACTTTGTATCAACTTTAAATGAAGTATACTTTCCGCTTTAGCCGCGAGTCAACTGACTACCGACCGGCTACTTCATTTTTTCCTTTAACATAAAATTTTATTTATTTTGGTTAAATCTTAAGTTATCTCTTTTAACAAGAAACACATATAATAACATTTATAAAATTAATGTATTTTTTTCACAATTTTCAGATGAATTCCCTGAAGAGGATTCAGATATGCTGATGGAGCCAAATGATTACACGCCCATCACAGTGCTACGCTCACATGAACATTCTTATCATGTGCCACCAACACATGAATTTCGTCCCATTATAAATACACAAATTTCACCACGTTCCGATGCTGCTCCAATTGACTCACACACACAAGCAGCTCAAAACTACTATCCACCATTTTTCCGTGAAATACCACCGCTAGGTCACTCAAGACCATACTTCCCTCTACCCGATGTCCCAGTTGTACCTAAATATGCTGCTCCTCATCCAGAATCTCTAACATCAGCACCACAACGTAGTTTCGATACTGCCCTTTTAGGTTCGGGCGATTTTGGTGTTCTGCGTGGTGGCACATTCTATCCAGAAGAAGAAATGCCCTATCATCCAGATGACAACAGTGATTTCAATCAATTTTATGGTGATTCTAATAACGGCCATGGCCGTCCATCAACTGAAGGCTTCATTGAAAAGTACACTTATCCTGAAGAACAATTTGCCAACTTCCGCGACTTCGCTGACATCAATACACCCGCCGACTCTGCCTTCTCACAGTTTGTTGTTGTGTATGCAGCCAAAAACTCCACAAATCCCAGCACACATAAGCGACCCAAAAATATATTTGAGCAACTGGAACAATTGGATCGTGAAAAAGAATTGGAAGAAAAGAAAAATCGCACAAGTAAATCCAAATCAAAATTGGCCAAAACAAAAGTTCAGAAAAAATACAAAAAGAAAGCGGCTCCGAAAGATTTAGATTATGAGCCATTGTTGGCTCTGAGTTAAATGTAAAAAATTGTTTGTTTAAGTTTTATTTAGTTTATGTTTCCATTAAGTTAAGTTAAATATTCATTAAATTAAATAAAATTCACTTCATTGGACATCGCATCCAGTAAACCGATACAAACAATAGTTAGATATGCACAGATTTCCTGGTACCTGAGTATGTAGTTTTCATCGTTGAATCACACAGTTCCTTTTGAGTAAATATTGTATTTCATAATATGAATAATGTATAATAATCGATTCTCTTACTATGGAGGTCTTGAGTAGTGTATTTACAAAAGGGTATTCCTTTGCAAAATTCTACATATATTATATATAAATAGTTCCAATTAAACAGATTAATTAGAATTTTTTAATGCTTTCATCTGAATATATTATATCCATGACCTTAACCAAATTACTATTGTTTAATTAACATAAGTCTTTATCATTCTTATTTCAAGTATCTCATATACAATATACACGTTGTTTTTGTATGTTGTATCACTTTTATTTCACTAAATATTATCGATGTTCTATCGCTTTACATTCGTAACATTGCAATTACAGCCAGCGAGTTTTCATTAAAGTTCTAAATAAACTCCTTCAAAGGTAGTACGTTATATATCTATATCTTACATATTCATCTAAATGATTTAAATCAACCTAGATAGTACATAAAAAAACTCACACATATACAGTAAGACAGCAGATACTGAATATTAAAGGTATTTATATTTATGAAGCTGTTTTAGAATAATAAAGATATATTTAATCTCGTATTAAAATACAGTTCTAAACCTCTATAGGATATCCTAGACAATTGAGTAACAATGGTAAGTTTCGTTGTTTAGTTCAATTAAATTAAAAAGTCAGATTAAAAAGTACCGGATTTAGTACTGCTTCAATGTCTTTATTTTACTTACATCATTTCTATCTTTAAAATTATCACTTAGTCTCTATGTGACTAACCACTAGAAACAATAGCAGTTACTTAAAATATATTTTAATTCTTCTTCTTTTAAAGCGTCATAACACTCTATGATTTGAACCTTCCTTCATAGTTTCCGTAAAGATACAACAAATCAGAATTTTAACTTTTGGTTTTTCTAGTTCACTTTCAATAATCTTTTTCTTCCAACAAATCAAAAGCACTAACTTCTATCTTAATTTTATATATACCAATATATTTATTGATCTAATTTTTTTATTTAAAAATTGAAATTGTTAGGAGACATCCTATTGCATTTTCGTTACAATTGATCATTTTTTAAAGTAATTATATTGGGGTTGTCAGAATATATCTTTCTTAAACTAGCTGTGCTCATATACTGATATTCAGCGTCTTCTCTTTATGTTCATCCAATTTGAAATGAATTAGTATTTATAAATTTCACATTCCACTTACCTTGTACTCTTTTACTGAATTTAATGTTCTAAAATATCACTCAAAAATATTTTCATTACTTTTAATCATATATGATTTATTTCAAATGTTTAATTTAGTCAAAATTCCACAAAGTCAAAGTCCATCTTCATTATCACGTCACATTTAACTCTTTTATTAATCACAATATTGGACTGTCAACATCCTATAGGACATTTATAGGCACCCAACCTTTTTTCATTATAGCTACTAAGGTTTGTTATATGAACACAATGATTGAAAGAAGGTTGATTAATTTTGGGATTATGTAGTATAACAACGGACCAATTTCACCTAAGTGTATCGAGAGTCGTCTCTGAATGTCGACGACCTGATTTAATTAAGCTGACATAATCTTATTAAAGCTATGTGATAACTACTTTTTCGTATACTTATGCAAATTAAGTCTTACTATATTTGTAGCAAAACGTAACCTTTACCTTTAAGATGATAAATATTCTAATAATTTGCATTCACTCATAATATTTTTGTCTTAAACTTTTCTTCAAAACTATTATATATATTGTATACACCGTATTGTTTTTCATTATGCACTTGCTTATTCAGCATTCATTCAATTGCGAGCTTCGATCTTCTTTGAAAGATGAAAACTTTGTAATTCTATCTACTAAAATGTTTGACTTTTAGTTAGTTTTAATATACACTACTTCTTCATCTTTACAACTTCCTAACAAGACTTCTTTAGGAAATCTTTATGCTAATACACTGTACTTATTTTATAACTCTATTTCATACTTCACACTACTTTACACAAAAATACATCCCAACATTGCCTTCCAATATTCAAATAGTAAACCTTACATCTGTATCTACTGCACAATTAAAGTATAGAGTGTAGTAATATTGTTTATTTCTAGAAACTTCATGACAAACCCCTCAAATTCATTACCTTACATTAACACAGCAGTTTCTTCACATGAAATATACTCAGGTACCACATTGGAATACATAGAATGAAGTATATTACGTTCCATATTAGAAGAAGAAATTTTTAACTTCCTTTGAATAAAATAGATTGGTTCTTAAAGTTAAAGTTGTGTGCTTATGCAAGTAACAAAGGTTGTTTTATATACAATATAAAAAAACCCATTTCTGAAATATAACAACTTTATCCATTTACAATAACAAAAATTAAAATAATCTAATCCTTGAGGCTTTTAATCCCTAAGCCAAAAGCCTTTCTGTTTACAAAGTCCCTGATCATTGTCTATAGCCAGATTGTATAGAAATCAAATTTCTGTTTCTAAAGAAAATATACTCAATTACATATATGAACTCATATCCATTTTAACATTTACATGACAAATTTTCATAAAAAAGTTCAATAAATCTCAAAATTTAATAATAAAAATAATTAAATAAATTTAGTGAAAATTCATTTTGTAAATTATGAGAACAAACAAATAAAAATGCATTTTGTACTAAAATTTGTTTATAAGAAATTTATTGAAAATTACACAAAATTCGTTTATTTAGAGATTAAGTAAGTTTTTCAAAAAGAAAGTAATTATTTTTATTTTTTATATATTACTTTTTTTATTTAAAGAAAATATATTCCACAACTCTTAAGCTCTTGGCATTTGTATCTTATTTAGATTTTAATCTTGTGTATAATTTTTCTTTTACATTTTACAAAATTCGTTACTCATTTATATATTAAATAGTTTTACTGAATAAAAGAAATTTATGTAATTGTTTTGTATATTATTTAAATTTTTTATTTTCAATATAATAAAAATAAAATAAAAAAATTTAAAAAAAATTGTTGTTTTCTTCTTAAATTGACATATACGCTCACCTGAAGGGAGTGACATGTTAGAAAATAATAACCTTCCATTAAAATTATTATTTGCAACATTTTTTATAAAAAAAAAAGAAACATATATATGTATGTAAATATATATATAAATATAAGTTTAGTATAAAAAATTATTACGTTGACACAGCACGCCCAGCATTTTTTTTAACGAGAAACTCGTGTGCAGAACGTCAAGCTGGAACTCAACGTCAAACACCTCCAACCAGCAGAAAGCCATAAATTGAGCTGAGCTTGAGCTCAGTCCATACACCACGCTTAGCAAGCGTCAATACTTCTCTACTACGACTCAAAATCAAATGTCAATTTTTATGTTTGTGGATGCAAATTCAGCGTATCAAACGACCGTTATCTCGTCATGACTGCACTGTCAATGGTAATCAAAACGAAGCAGAAACAGTTAAGTTGATTTATGCCTCCATTTTCCTTGCCTGCTCTATTTTGCATGTCGGCGAGTACTCATACAAATCTCGCAGCGATAAAACCGATCAGATCTCGATGCAGTTATTTGTACCTAATAGAGTTCAACAACGAGATTGACACACCCAGTTCGATGCAATTTGTTAATTACAGTTAAATATGCTATGAAAGGGGGCAATATTTCGGATTTTATCGGCCACATAAGTAAGCCGTGTAATTATGCATATTAATGTGAAAATCATTTAACGAAATTAATTAAATTATTTAAAACGCAATTATATTTTATTTGATTAATTATATGTTTTTATATGAAATTTGAAATATTAGGTGTGAAATAAATAAGAAATTTAAAACGACTAATAAGTATACTTTTGATATGAGGCAGAACAGCGTTTATGAAAAAATTAACATATAAATTGATTTAATAGATCCTCTCAATATATTTGGCAAGCAGGTGTTCTTCAGGTTCTTCTTCGAGTACTGTAATTGATATGTCATAAGTGTTAATTTAATAGTACAGAATATTTAAAGAAATGAAATCAAGCATTAATTTTGCACTGTTTAACTATCTTTGACTTTATATAATAAGACAACTTCGCCTTCGGTGTGTACTAACTTTGTGAAGATAATGATAATCAGAATAGTAAGAAAAACCGATTAAGCAATACTTTATATAAGACTTTATATTATAGGACCACTTCGCCTTCGGTGTGTACTAAGTTTGTGAAAATAATGATAATTAGAATAGTAAGAAAAACCGATTAAGCAATACTGTTAATATTCGTATTATTGGTGTTTCTGCTCGTTTATCAACTTATCTGTATGTATGGATACACATCTGTCGATAAGTGAATAACTTCACTTCATCTTAACAGATGGAAAGAGATAAGCACTTGTAGGCAGACTAAACTCATGATGCAGAAACCGTTGGTCAGGGAAGCGATAAATGTGCTTAGCTATCCGCATAGCATCCTAAGTTGGCTGACATTACTAACTACTAGACACGGAAACTTTCAGAATCACCTCAAAAAGATAACGCTTGCTGAGGAAGACACTTTTAGACTATGTTTAGAAGAAAAGGAGATGGCGGTGCATATATTGTGCCAATCTCGAGTACTAGCAAGTGGGAGGAAGACTACCTTGGCACAGTATTGGATTGGTGATAACTTGGCAAGCAAGCTCAAGCTAAATGAACTGCTTGCATTAACAAGAGAAGTAGTTATGCGAACGGAAGTCACTCCAGCTTTAACTCAATAACAACATCCGAGAATCGAAGGACGAAGAAGGATAAAAGACGTTTCGTGGTCAACTTCGGCTCATTCTTCACTTCAGAGGGACCTCTTGCTGGA